CTCGGCGGCGCCCGCCGCGGCCGCGTGGTGCTGCCCCGCCGGGCGGGGATGGAGCGGCCGCCGGGGCCCTGCCCGCCCGGGCGGGGAAAAGCCACGCGGTGCTCGGGCGGCGCCGGCGATGGAACCCGCCCGCCCCGTCCCGTCCCCCACGTGCGATCGCGGCAGCGCCGGGATTTTTTTAAAGGTCGCCGCGCCGTGTGTGTGTGTGTGTGTGGGGGTTTCCTCCCGGCCGCCGCGGGAAGGGCGCAGCGCTCTCCTTCCTCCCTCCGCCGGGTCGCGCCGGCGCCGGTCACACACGTGCTGCCGCTCTCCGTTAACGCCGTGGCGGGGGAACGGGGCAGCCCATCCACCCGCCCCGCCGGGCAGAGCTGTCCCCGAGGGCGGGCTGAGCCTTACCGGGGAGGCGTGAGCGTCCTGCGCCGCGCCAGCCGCCTCCCGCCGCCGCTCATTCATCCCCCCGGCGCGGGTGGTAGACGGTCCTCCGGTAACCCGGCTTTCACCGAGGAAATACCTGCCGAACGGCGGCTTTGAAGTTGGTCTTTTTTGCTTGTAACCCTCCTTTCCGAACGTGGTTTTTTTCTTTTTTTTCGGTGGCGCGTTCCCGGTGATGCTGTTTCTATCGATAATTCTGTCCGAGCTGGATTATTCAGCGGTCCTTCAAATGCGGTGGTTTTAGGAGACACGGCTTGCCGCTTTTCAATTAAATTGTTATTAATCTCTTGTGATTGACTTATCACTGAAGTCGACTCGTAAAACTGTGGAGGGGAGCGTGAGCTGTGATCTGTAGGGCATGAACTCGCTCTGAGGGCTGTTTTGTCAAACTTTTCTGCACTTCAGCCATAAAACACCCTGGAAGTAGCTGAAGCTTTAAGGCCTGGTAACACGTAGGACATTTAATAGAAATAGCTGTGTACTTCTAACGTAGATGACTAGAAAAAGGTCTTAAGCGAAAACCCCAGGTGTTTTGTCAGAATGAAGGGATTTTGATGCATTTTCATTTGTTTTTCAGAAAAAGAGCAACAGGAAGCAATCGAACACATTGACGAAGTACAGAATGAAATAGACAGGTAAAGGAACTTGAAATGTTCTAGCAGAAATTAAACTGTAACTTCCAAAAATAAATATGTCTATTAAAGTAAGCACTCGGGAGTAGTTCCCACTCCCTTTAAACTTCACCAAGATATACTTGTGTTCTGACTTGATTAGATGTAAGGAGTATTTGTGTATGATAAAACCCCCTGAAGTCGTATGCTGGTTTCTTGTTTAATTGTGTAAAATTAAAAAGGTAGAAACTTGAGTTTAAAATTTTAAATCAATTGTAGTAGTTTTGATAATAGAAACTTATTTCGTATTGGTTTTTCAAGTTAATGCGTTTGCCGTTCTACGAAAGTATTTTTGTGTTTGTAAGCAGAACCAGGAACTTGGTTGAAAAGTTAGCTTTTATTATGCACTTTTTTGTTACCTAGCCATGCGCTTGTAGAATAATATATACGGAGTGTCACTGAAACACTAGTTTTGTATGCCAAAATCTCTGTGGGTTCTGTCGGTATTTGCCTGGATCTTTCCGCTGTGCTCCAGAGCCTGCAGGTGGCTGTTGAGGCTCTGGCCAGTGAAGCTGTTGCAGTATTGGGGCTTTGTCTGTTTATGAAACCAATTAAATGTGATGTGTTCAGATTTTACTTGCGTGGGGCGCAAAAGTTGCTTTGCTGTAGCTTGTTTGCCCGCTCAAAAGTTATAAAGAGCAGGTGATGGTGTTAGGTGTTACCCATCTTCAGGTCTTTTGCAAACAAAATGTTTAAGAGGTAAAATACTACACGGCTTTGTATAAATAAGGGACTGTCCCTCCTGTAATGCTGCGAAACATACAAGGTGTTAAGAACGTTTAATTTGTTTCATTAAGATCGGTGTGATTGCTTCTGGTAGGGTGTTTCTTAATAGCAGCAACAGGCTTGGGGCTCAGTTTTGTGTTAAAAAGCTCAGTTGTTGAATGTGGCAGACTGGTCTCATCACACCCATTCAGTTTTTAGTGAACTATGGATGATGCGGCTTTTGAGTTTCAGTTCTCTCTCCCGTGGTTAACGTGGCTCTTTCTGTTGCAGACTGAATGAACAAGCCAGTGAGGAAATCTTGAAAGTAGAACAGAAATACAACAAACTCCGCCAACCATTCTTCCAGAAGAGGTCAGAATTGATCGCCAAAATCCCAAACTTCTGGGTAACAACATTTGTCAACCACCCACAAGGTACATTCTTAATAGCCCTCTTTTTTTTCTGTAAATTCAGCGTTTGCTTTCTTATGTGCTTTGCAGCTCTGAGGGTTTTCTAGAATTTTGGTTGGGCATACATTTAAACAGAAGCCTGCTTCATGTGCAAACACTTGTGTTTTGTCCTAGAGTACATTTTAGAAGCTTTTTCTTTCTTGCACTTGTTGACCAAAAGAACATCTCATTCGCTAAATCCCTTGGTGGTTTTATTTCTGCATTTTAAATGATAAGTTTCCTACTTTTTTTCAGTTAATTGAGCCTTTTAAGCTGGGGGGGGAGGATTCTAGTTTCTTTGGTTTTTTTTTTAATTGGAGGTGAGCTCCTTAGGACGCTTCACAATAAAGTGTTTCTACAAAATGAGTTTGTAGACTGCTCAGATTGGGCAAACTACATGTGTCAAAATCTGCTTCAGAGACAAGGGCAGATGTAAACGTTGAACTACAGCAAGCAAACATAATTCTTTCTCAGCATGTGCAAATCATACAAAAACTAATAGTCTTTTGGCTGGTAACATGAACAAAATGGGCCACAAGAAGTTGGCTTGGAGAGATGCATTGCTTTTAAAACATTTCTTACTTTTAATTTCCTGTATTTCACCTGCACGATATATGTTTTGTGGCTTTGTTAACGTGGGATTCCTGATTCTGTCTCAGTATCTGCACTGCTGGGAGAAGAAGATGAGGAAGCACTGCATTATTTGACCAGAGTTGAGGTGACAGAATTCGAAGACATCAAATCAGGTTACAGAATAGATTTTGTAAGTACTTTAAATAATTCCTTGTGATTTTTCTGGGGTATTTGTTAAATGTAATTGCATATTTGGTTGTAGTTTGTAACTTAATCTCTTCAATTATCCGTTTAGTGCTAGGTTTGACTTGGCACGTGTGTTTATGTGATGTGGGTTCTAATTTTTTTGTTTTCAACTCTGCAGTATTTTGATGAGAATCCATACTTTGAAAATAAAGTTCTCTCCAAAGAGTTTCACCTCAATGAAAGTGGAGACCCATCTTCAAAATCAACTGAGATCAAATGGAAATCTGGGAAGGTATGTTTCTCTACATCTGGGAAAGATGATTGCTGCTCTGTGTGATACCCTTTACTTGAATTATGTTCCTTTTTTTTTTTCTCTTCTGTTTGAAATTGCTTTGTCCTCCCTCTTCTTCCTCTCTCAACCCCCTTGCTGCTTCTCTATGTAGTTCGTGCCCATCTTGTAGGGTTTGGAATATTCCCTTTACATGGAGATCTGTAATGAATTCTTTTGCTCAGTTGAGCTCCACCGTGAAAACAGTGAAAGTACAAGTATGACCAGATGGAGAGATTAACAAGTGCATTGGCTTGTCTGCCTTTGGTGTGAATCTAGACTGTGTTTTGTTGTTTTCTTTAGATAACTATTGAATAAGGAATTCAAGGATAGCAGGGTTTGGGGGATCAGATAGAGGGGGTGGTGATTATTGTTTTTTTCTCTTTATTTCCTCAACTTTATTTCCAGACATTGTATCTTAGCAGAAGTTGCAGCCACACAGTAATGTAAGCATATATTTCATCCAGACAGTATTGAAACATAATTAATTTTCTGTTGTTTCCATAAAAGTTGGGAGCACTTTCATGTTATGCTGAAGATTTTTGTAATGAGTTAAGTTGCTGCTTGTTTTGTCGTCTTTGGGTCGAGAAGAAAACTTCATTTTTTTTCATTGAGAACTAGAACTTTTCCTCCTGTACAAGAAGTTATGGTCCAGTACAAACTAGTTGAATGCGATCTTTACAACATACCACAAAATCAATATGAATTCTGGTGGTGTACTTCATTAAATGGTCTAAACCTATAAATGTTGTGATTCTATTGAGAAAGCAACTACTAGAAGTTTAGAATTACCATGTGATCAGAGAAAGAATGCATTAAATAGCAGATAGTAATCTTCTTTTTAAACTTAGCAAATAGATTGTTGCAAACTTTTTTAAACTTCTGGCGTAAGGGGCTATATACTGGACTCGTATGTTCTTGTGTGTGTGTTTAGGAGTTTGTAGGTTTTTTTCACTTTACTACAAAGAATGGCCTGAAGACACCTAAAAGTGGGAAATCTTGGATAAGGAGGCTAGGCAGTTCTTTATCTCAAGTTAAAGACAGAGCTTAGAGGTGTGGAGACTGAGTGTTTCTTAAATTGTGCGTATGTAGCAGTCATAGCATTTAACTACAATTACAGCTATTCCCAGAGTAGCATTTAACAATTGTGAGATCTTCTAAGTTCAGCGTATCATTAAACACTTGTCATATTTGTGCTTCCCTGTGACAGGGGAGCATAAGTCATATGCAAGATCCTGTGAATTGTCAGTATTTTGGTGGAGGTCATTAAAAGAAACAGGCAGTTTTTTTCTTATGTTCATGAGAAGTGGAAATGACTGAGTGGTACCTTTTTCTGTGAGTCATTTGGGTTCCAAACATTTCTTAAAGACCTCTCTCTGAAAGAGGGAGTAGTAAGTGACCTTGTTTAGTTGTTTAGACAAGTACGTTTCTAAATGGTGCTTATTTTAAAAAAGCTTACTTACTTAGGGAGCTCAACTTTCTTTTCAGGATCTGACAAAACGTTCAAGCCAGACACAGAACAAAGCCAGTAGGAAGAGGCAGCATGAAGAGCCAGAAAGTTTCTTTACTTGGTTCACTGACCACTCCGATGCAGGGGCTGATGAACTAGGAGAAGTCATCAAGGATGACATCTGGCCAAACCCATTACAGTACTACTTGGTGAGTGTGGCACTGAGTTGGTGATCCGTCCTCGTAATGGCACTGTGAAAGTGAATTCGATCACTGTTGTTAACATCGCGTGTGTGTTTTTAAGGTTCCTGATATGGATGACGAAGAAGGGGAGGGAGAGGAAGATGATGATGATGATGAAGAGGAAGAAGGATTAGAGGATATTGATGAAGAAGGAGATGAAGATGAGGGGGAGGAAGATGAAGATGATGATGAGGGAGAGGAAGGAGAGGTGAGTAATCTTACCCCTTCCATCTCTGGTGTATGAGGATCAAAAGAAATTTCTAAAAGGGATTTTGCAAGAATACTGAACCATTGCTAGAAAGGTAAAATGGTTCTTTTCTGTACAATCACTGACAGCGTTGCGGGGGGAGAAGCAGAACTGTTACTGCCTTAACTTGTGGAGTGGTTTCAGTGTAGGAATGTTTGTGTATATGAGAAACAGTACAAATAAGTAGTTTTAGCAAACTTGTAGGAAGTGCTCTGGAAGAACTAGGATATTAGCATAACAAAATTCTCATTTACTTAGTGAACATTCTAGCAAGACTTGCCTTTGTTGACACATCCAGTTCTGTTATCCTCCCACTTGTTGGTTTACTTTTGCCTATGGCCAGCTTAGCTAAGACTCAGGAATTAGAAATTTTATTTAGTGGCAAGTGGGATTCCAGGGCCAGCATTCAGGGTGTTGCTAACTTAAAAAGTTTAGAATGTCTTTGTTTCTGGTAATTGGGCGTGGTGTGTCTGAATTTCAGCAGCAAAAACATTACTTGTATTGAGGTAGGGCTGTTGTGGGCACCAGAGTACTGGGCTCTGTTATGTCATCTGGAACTTAGTATCTGAAAGCATTTTGCTTTCGAAAGTTTAAAACGAGGGGGGCGGAAAAAAGATGACCCCTTCACTTTCCTAAACAGTAAAGTTCTGTAAACTTTTGAAGAGATTCTAAGTCACAGTAGTTTTTCAAACTTGATGTTTTTTCATGGGATATCTGCTTATTAACTGTTTTTTATGTAGATAGGAACTCACAGCAAGTGTTACTACTTAGCAAAGAGAGAGATCATCATAGAGCATGCCATGGGTAACGCTGTAGGGCCATAGTCTGCAGGGTAGCAAAGCAACATTCTAGTTACCACATTTGACAGTTCGTGCTATCTGAAGTTTAGTGATTAGATTTTTTTAATTGTTGCTTATCTTTCAACAGGAGGATGAAGGAGAAGATGACTAATTGAACACTGATGGATTCCAAACCCCCTTTTTACCTTTTTAATTTTTCTCCAGTCCCTGGGAGCAAGTTGCTGTCTTTTATTTCTTGTGCTCAGTCGCCTTGTTCTCTTGAGGTCTCTTTTTCTCTCCTCTACACCATGGTTCACAATTTATTTTGGGGGAAATACCTTGAGCAGAATACAGTGGAAAAGAATCTCTACCGGTTTCTGTTTCAAGTTCATTTTTATCCCTTTCTGTCTCAAAACAAAAACTGTTTATGGAATCAACACACCATGTTCTGTGGGAAAAAAGAAAACCTTCTGCTCCCTTCACTCTGCTGGAAGCTGAAGAGTGCTAGGCCCCTGTGTAGTAGTGCATAGAATCTAGCTTTTTTCCTTCTTTCTCTGTATATTGGGCTCAGAGATTACACTGTGTCTCTATGTGAATATGGACAGTTAGCATTTACCAACATGTATCTGTCTACTTTCTCTTGTTTAAAAAAAGAAAAAAAAAACCTAAAAAAAAATAAAAATAAATGGGGTTATAGAAGGTCAGCCGGGGTGGGTTTCAGATGTTTTGGGTGGGTTAAGTGGGCATTTTGACAACATGGCTTCTTCTCCTTTGGCATGTTTAATTGTGATGTTTAACAAACATCCTTGCAGTTTAAGATGACACTTTTAAAATAAAATCTTATCCTAATGATGACTTTGAGCCCTGCCACTTGATGGGGGAATCAGCAGAACCTGTAGGATCTTATTTGGAATTGACATTCTCTATTGTAATTTTGTTCTTGTTTATTTTTAAATTTTTTTTTTTTTTTTGTTTCACTGGAAAGGAAAGAAAGATGCTCAGTTTTAAACGTTAAAGTGTACAAGTTGCTTTGTTACAATAAAACTAAATGTGTACACAAAGGGACTGGTTGGTCTTCACTGAAAGAAAGAGTTTTAATATCCCATTTTGAACTTTCTTGTAGGTTCTTGGCATTTTTGGGGGCATTTGGTCAGTATTTATGTAGTGCAATGCAGCCTTGTGGCTGCGTGGACTGATAATCAGTTCATTTAGTTTCCACTAACTATTTCAGTACTTGGAGGATGTTTCTTTTGGTAGTTCCTGCTGCACACTCCATTTCTTGAATTACCTGTGTTTAGGGCTGTAAGGTGCATATGCCTTGTGTGAAGACAGAGGTTTATATTCATGTTTTGCAAAAAGAAAAATCGCTGCTTAGATTTTTTTTTTTAAGTAGTAATGTGCAGTACTGTATCTCCAGTAAATCAGTTTGCATGAAAATATCATGCAAGCTCCGAATAAAAAGACCAAGGGGTCGTCTTATAAGATTTGGGTGTTTTTGTAAGTCTTTCCAGTTGAAAATAAATTTAAAGTGCAAGCTAATTTTAGAGCTATTTCAAAGAGCAAGTTTCTTAGCAAAGCTAGTGTATAAAAAGTTGCTACTTCACTGCTTTCTTTCCTTGGTAGCAGCATGTATATATGCTTTAGATATACTCTTCTCTTTTTCATTTTAAGAGACTGCATTTGAGTAGCTTGTAACAATTTCACATAGAGGTTGTTGGTACTGGTATTCCACAAAGTGTAATGAAAATTGTTTTAACATGCTGTGCTTTTGAAATATTTAAAAAAAAAATGTTGTATCAGCTAATCTAAAATTCAAACAGCTAGTTCTCTTTGGATGTGTAGAAAAGACTGTCTTCTGGGAAGACTTGCTGTTTTATTCTCTGATTCCTTTTACTCACGGAATTTGCTATAGTCAAATTCAGCTTTTTTTGATGCTTAAGAATACACTTAGCAGAACAAGATAAATCTCTATTTGAGACATGCCCAAATGACATGTGTGGGGTGAACATTCTCTTAAGTATCTGGTCCAGCTTGGATTCAATCCAGTTATCAGAGACAATGCAACATCCAGTCTGCATGTGATCAATGCAAAAATAAGACAACCATTTACTTTATTGCATCTCAACAAAAGCTTCTGCCCTGATCCTGCTTGCAGAGCAAAGTAAAATGTTAATTGGTAATGGTTTCTTACCATCTAGAGAGAAGGAACAAAACCTATGAAGTGTATAAATTCTAGATTCTTTTTCATTTGATTCCATTTTGTACGACTGAAAACCGCTTCCTGTTGTGGTAGAGGGTCGATGTGCTATTACTTGCCATGATGCCTCGTTACTTAATTTTTATGTAGTCCTAATTGATTGTAGTTCTTCAAGGAAAATAGTATTTTCCTAGGCTTTAATGCTTCAGGAAAAATATTGTGTCATTGTTACACCCCTGTTGGGTTACTAGCAGAAAACCTATAAAAACTGTTCTGAAAGTAATCAAAGCTTCAGGTTCTGTGAAGTCAAATACCATGAACAAGAAATGAGAAGTTGGATAATGAAATGCTATTTTTGAGATATTTTTTTTTTGTTGTTGCACATTCTTTAGGATTTTACAGGGTGCCAAAACACTCTTACTACTGTACTAATAATAGTGAATTTCCTGTGAAACTTAAGGGCTTACTCCTGGCAAAGGCTAAAGAGTGCTCCTGGCTAACATGCTAAAAGAATAAACCATATTTGTTAAGTGTAATCTTAATTACTATTTTTTTTCCTAGCAATGGAAATGAGTAGGGATTAACACATCTCTCTGCAACACTGAAGAAATACTACAGATGGCCATTGTGTGCTCTGACTGTTCACTTAATGTCTCTAATTTGGCAGATAGATGTAATGGGTGTCCATTTTTACTTGATTTAATTTGTATATGCACATAAAGAGCATTTAGAGGTAGACATCCACCTTGGATAAGAATGGGAGATTCATTCTTATTAAATATCTATCTGTATCTCTCATTAATTCCCCACATCTGCTTGATCTTGCATCCAGTTAATCCTGCCAAGTGAAATTTGTCAGAGGTGGAAGCTGAATTCAGGCTTTGCAGCCTGGATTTCCAGGGTTAGACTGTAGACTTGGCAGCAATTAAATAAAGGTGAAGCTACTGTGCTGGGGCTGTATGACTTAAATGGCTCAAAGGTTATTTTTATTTTGTTTGAAGCTTAATTGCTATAAAATAGCATCTTTTGTCTGTAATTTCTAGTGCTAAAGGAAAGCAAGTACATCCATGTGTGTGTAAATACAGTTAGAAAGGTTTGGTTTTTTTAAAACATTATCTGTGTGCTTATTCATACTTGTCAACATAGTTTTTGTCCCTGTAAACAAGCATTATCTGAATTGATTTCTCAGTCATTTATGCCATTCATTTGAATCTGTAAGCTTCTCTTTGTACTGCACTAAAACAGGTGCATAACGATAGTACTTGTTTATTGGATACTGTTCCTCAATTTCGAAGCCATGCTTTTCTTTTTTTTTTAAGACTGAAATCAATGAAATAATTTCTCTGATGTACCTTCAAGATATCCTTCTGTTTGAAGGAATTAAAGTACATTTAACTGTTACTTGATGTTACCATTTCTAAGAGTCTTTTTCAAAAGAATAGTTATTACTCCCAAACTCGGCATCGTCTTTGATGAGGGAGGTTGATGGTGCTCCCTTCTCCTATGGCTATCAGTGACAGGAGGTCCCAAGTGACTCTGTAACAAGATGCTTGCTTCCTCCGGGGAACAGATTTATGCTTAATCTCTTGCCCTCCCCTCTCCTGGATTAAAAATGGAAACTTCTAAGACTTTTCTCTTGATCCATCACCTTCTCTGCTGGAATGTACTCTAGTGGAGGGAGCCCTGTAAAACATATAGCTCCCGGAGCCTTAGCAGAGCCCGTGGGCCTCCGACCTCCCCAGGCAGAGCTGTACCCGCTGGGGCCGGCTCCCCGCGGCACCGTGTCCCCGGGAGCTACCGGGAGGGTCCCTGCAGCCCCCGACACGGGCTGTAGCAGCGCTCCCCCGGGGTGCTTCTGCCTGCTGATCCGGGAGGGCTGCTTCCCCAGCCGGGGAAGAGCATAAAAGGGCAAAGTTAGCCACGGTGGGAGGCAGAGGGCTCCGGGAAGTGAGGGCATCCTTCCCCTGCGTTTCTTCCCCCTTTTAAACGCTCGCATACCCGCAAGCAAAACGGCGAGAGGCTTTCCTGGAGCCGTAATTCGCCTGCAAGCCGATGTCCCTTCTCCTCGGGTTTAGCGGAGGGCAGGGGCTGCCGGTTCACCGCTAGGGCATGCCTAAACCCCCCGGCAACCCCTCCGGGAGGCTCCCGAAAGAGACCGCACAGCTCGATCCCGGGGGCTGGGAAACGGCGGCCCGCCCGCCCCCGGGGCCGCTCACACGCTCCCCCTTCCCGGCGGCGGCACCACCGCACCTGGGGGCGGGGGGGAGCCGGCCCGGGCCCCGCGGTGTCCCCGGTGCCCGTAGGAGTCGTGCCCTGCGGGATCCTGGAAGGGCTGGACAGGCAAGTTTGTGACACTCGTTTTCCCGTGGGACAGAGGTTACCGGGTGGGCAGGATCCCACGCACCGGCCCCCCTCTATCTGCAGGGGATGGCTGAACCATGCCCGTGGGATGGGCTGAGGCCCCGGCTGGGATGCTGGTGGCCAGGGACATCTCTGACCAGGGTGGGGGAAAAAGGGCTGCAAAGCCAGAAAACACATCGTCCTGGCTCAGGGATAACTCTGATACCCCCAGCCTGGGGAGCTCCTTCAGCCACACAGTCCTCAGCCTGCTCTGGCTCCCCAGACTCCCTGAACTGTCCCCCCAGCCCTTCCTCTGCCCCAGCTGGAGGGGTATGAGCCCTGGAGGAAAGAAGGGGAGTCCCCCTGTGAACCCCGAGGGCAGTGGGGGACAAACCAACCTCTGCTGAGGGCTCCCACCAAATCCCTCTCCAGCTGACGGAGCCCTGATCCCCGTCTGCTGGGCTGGGCTTTGCCCGCTGCAGGTACAGTGGTGTCCCTGCTCCTCCCAAACTCAATCCACACCTACTAGTTTGACTTTCCCCCTTCCAGTATTTCCACTGAAAGAACAGGCTAATTAAAATCATTCCTTAAACACTAAGCAGGGCCTGAACCCTGTTACAGATAGCAACAGGTTTCAGAAGAGTTTCTATTAATAAAGCACTTGTTTTATTAACAACAGGAGCATGTTCAAAGGTTTTATAGAACTTTAAGACTTTATTACTTTAACTCAGTGAAGCTAGATTTAAATTTTACATTTTCTGGTGATTTCCTTTTACTAATTATTCAGTTGCAGCTCATTTACAAAATTCTTATGCTAGAAAAAAAAAACCCAACAAACTGTTCTAATTAAATAAAAGGAAAACATTTCTGCTTATTAGTACAGTTCTAAATTTGTATGAGGAAATACTATTACCTCTAGATGCCTTCTGACTCAAAGCTGTGTATTGCTCCAGGACTGAAAAAGCATAATAGTGCTATAATAATATTAGGTAATACCACTGAGGAGGGATCTTAAAAGGGGTGGTCTTTACCACCTGAAAGCAATAATTATCTTTTTCACTTGTTTTAAACACTGGGCCTCTGGCACGCAGCATTATCGGTTCTGGGTGACATGACGGCAGTACAGCAGCACAGTGTTTTTTCCCTCATGAGAGCTGGGGGATTACTGCCAGCCTTGTCAGTGCATTCGGGTTATTTTTTTCAGTCAAATATTGAGCTGAAACCCCAGATCCTACGTGTAGGGGGCCAGTTCTGCCGAGAAAAAGTTAGTCAGAAACCAGCACTGGAGATGGGCACGGCCCCCTTTTCCAGGGATGCATCCTATCTAAAGGGGAGTTGTGGTTTGCTCCTTCCCTTTCAAACAAACACTGATTACTATTCAATCCAGAGAACTAAAATTAGAAACCACCTGATTGACTCACCACAGCAAACTGGGCCCGGGCCGGGGCCAGCCACAGGGATTTCTCCTCAGGGGGCCCAGGGATTTCTCCTCACGGCTCCCAGCTCCCTCAGGAGGTGTCGGGAACCGAGCGGGGCCCAAGTCACGGAGATCTGTCACTGTGTTCGTCCCCGCACCGTCCCCTTTGGCACAAACCCACAATTTTTGCGCCCAAAGAGGACAATCACCCCCTAAAGCCCGAGGCGGAGGGCGATGTCCACGCTGGGAAGCGGGAGGTACCTCAGTCTCCTCAACGTCCGGCCTGTGGCGCCTCTCTCCTTTCCCGCCGCCATCCCGGCCGGGCTGCTCCGACCTCGCCGCCAGGTCTCGGCTGCGCATTTCCCCTCAGGGCGGGCGAAGGCAGAGGGACGACCTCCCTCCAGGCAGGGGCGGGAGCCGCGGCTGGCCCAGGACCCCGCGGGGCAGGGCAGGGCCGGGCCCGGGCGGCGTGTGGCCAAAGGAGGCTGCCCGGCTCCCTCAGGGCCGCCCGCCGGCAGCTCTCCCGGGCC